TGATTCTACAAAGTAGCATCTTTAGCTGCAGCTTTTCAGTTTTGGATGCCACCTGCCACATATACCTGGCACCTATTTACTGAATGGGAAGATTTTCCACAGAATCTCTATCATCATCCTTCCTGTTTATGAGACATTGCTATATAAATACAAAATTACCACCAGTGGAAAGAGATACCCATAACTGAGATTTTTTTCCCTCTTTTGGTACTGGGAATTGAACCCAGGAGCATTCTATCTCTGAGCTATACCTCAAACCTTTTTTTAAAATTTTATTTGAGACAGGGTCTCTTTAAGTTGCCTAGGCTGGCCTTCAAATTGTGAACCTCCTGCCTCCTTAGCCTGGCAAGGATCATAGGTGTTCACCAGTTACACCTGGCTTACATAACTGAGAATTTCCAGGTAAATTTCCTACAGGATATATTAGCCCAATATGGCTCTTTATAGACAAGAAAAATTCTTGTTAAATATTTAATTTTAATAAATGCATAAAAAGCTCCACTTAAGGTTTAGGGATATAGCTCAGTTGGTAGAGTGCTTGCCTTGCATTTAAAAGCCCTGGGTTCAATCCCCAGCATCACAAAACAAAACAAAACAAAACAAACTCCACTTAAGCAAACCTTAAATATGCAGAAGTCCTCAAGCAAGTGGACTTTTTACTTAATGTAATTGTTAATCTAGAGAAGGAAGAGTTAAATATCTGAAATGGTGGCCAGAATAACAGGAAAATACCATGTATCAGAAATTTTATGTCAGCCTTTTTGCCACCATTATCTCTGAAGATCTTGTTAATTACAATTCAAGGAAAGTAAAGAGGAAAGGGTTTTCACATTCCCACCAGGAAACTTGAGAGAACATTTCCTTGTTTTCCTGCCTCTATAGATCATACTTATCCAAGTTTTATAGACGTGAGTTTTCCATATTTTTTTTCTATCCCTGGTTGACCTTGTGCTTTTTCATAGGTTGTGAGAAACACTTTGAAGGACTTATGTTACTGGTTCTGCTAACGGAAGGCGGGCACTTATGCAGGGCAGAGATGCTGAAAAGTGCAGGTCATAGGGAGGTAACTGTCAGCTATTGCCTTTCAGGCTTATAAAATGCTAAGAAAGAGGTTAATAAGATTTACTTTGGGTAACACAATAACAGAACAGAAGTCCCAAGGGACTTGCAGTAATCAGTTTAACAAGGAAGTTAAGTACTGCAAGATTTTGTAATCTTTGTAATATCGTCTATATTTGATATTTTGATATTTCCTGAAGCAATGAGGGGCAAAACCTAAAACAAAAAGGAAAAACATAAAGATCCATCTAGCTCTTTACTATGTGCCAGGCATTGAGTCAAAAGTTTAATTTCATACCCAATAAAATAGTCATTTTATATACAAGGAGAATGAATCAAAAAATTTAAAAATATATAATATAAACAGCTAGTTTTAGATACTAAGACCTTGGACTTGTCCTTGTATAACACCTGTATGAATATCTAACACCAGTATGACCTGTGTGACAGCTGAAGGACTCTCCAACACTGATATTCTAATCAATGTATTTGTCAATTCTAAACAGAATACCTGTTATTTTGGGAGGTGTTTTAGGACACATTCCATATCCTCCTCAGAATAATTTTGCATTAAAAACTCATTTCTGCAAAGAAAGATGTACTCTGCTCGTTTTTTAAAAAGAATTTTTGACCTGTTACTATCATCTGATAAATGGTAATGAGGTATAAAGAAAGGACACTTTAGAAATCAATAACACAATATGGAAATATAGACAATAGACAAGAAAACCTCCTTTCAATATTCTTTTTTCTTGGGGCGGGGGGGACTGAGGGGACCAGGGATTGAACCCAGGGGTGCTTAACCACTGAACCATATCTTCAGGTTTTTTTTTTTGTTTGTTTGTTTTTTTGTATTTTATTTAGAGAGAGGTCTCCCTGAGTTGCTTAGGCCCTTGCTGAGTTGCTTAGGCCCTTGCTAAGTTGCTGAGGCTGGCTTTGAACTCTTGATCCTCCTGCCTCAGCCTCCCAAGCCACTGGGATTATAGGTATGTGCCACCATGCCTGGTTAGCTCCTTTCAATATTAAGCACAAGACAGCTACTAGGTCACATTAAACAACACTTTCCTTTGGTCACTGTTACTTGTAATCATCTTATGGTTAATATTATAAATACCCCAGTCTATGGCTAGACAAACATGTGGCTTCATAAAACTATCTAGTCAGTTCCTTTTGGCATATCATTCTAAAGAATGAGTCAAAATAATCATATATTAAGATAACATGAAAGGGAATTCCATCAGTCAGAAATAAAAGATAAGCCAAATAAAAGGCATAATAATTCCAAGCCTTAAATAAATTCCTATGCTAATACTGTGACTATATGTTTTTAGTTGGATGTTTTGATCTTTTGTAGAACACTGCAATTTGAAGTGGATTATCTGAAAATTTTTTCTCTTTAAGTTTTAACATAGTATATGATAATAAGTTATATTTTATTACAGTAGTAACATCCTATGACTTTCCTACATGTATCTTACCTAAACTTAGAGAAAATATTAGCAACTAAATATTCTTAATTCAAATTTTGATTAAGAACAATACTGTCCTAATTCTGCAATGGATCTCATCATATTTTGTCCTACTTGAAAATATTCCATAGTTCTCCATCTAACACTGTATATAGAATTACCAACATAAAATCTGGTTGCAACATATGCCTATGGTATTTTCAGTTTCTCTTTCATCCCAAGACTATTTGCCATCTCGGGAACAGGTCATATACTTACAAATGTTTTAGCTATAAACTTTCTAGTTGAGGGACCCTGATTAGGGGAGATGAAAAACAGCACCTAAGACATAGGGCTGTCATGAGGATTATATGAGTTAATATAGGTCATGTAATTAGAAAAATGTCTAGCATAAAATAAATGTTCAATGAATGCCACCTATTTTATTGTTTGTTTGTTTTCAATTGCTGTCTTAACTTCCTGACATATTATTCCTCAATCTCTATAAGATAACTCTCAATTCATCTCCAAAAATCTAATCCAATCAATCCAATAAAAAAATGAACAAAAAAGTTTTGAATAGACGTTTCCCAAAGTAGATATATAAATGGCTAATCAGCTCATGAAACATTCAACAATATTAGTCATGGGCAAATGCAAATAAAAACTACCATGAGATATTTCAAAACCATGAGCAAGGCTATAACCAAAGAGACAGGGCTGGTGGGGGGAAGAAGCTCAATAGTGGAGTGTTAAATGAAAAAAAAATAAAACCTACAAATAACAATCAATATTGTTGGTGATGTGGAGAAATGAGAATCCTCACCCAATACTGATGGAAATATGAAATTCTGCAGTTACTCTTGCAAACAGTTTGGCAGTTGGCTAAACACTTAAACAGAAATTTACTATGTCCCAGTAACCCAAGAGAAATGAAAACACATTCATACAAAGACTGGCCTAGCAATTAACATAGTAGCATTATTCATAAGAGCAAAAGTGAGAAAAAACCTAAATGTTCACCAACTGATGAATAGATAAACAGATCAACAAAATGTGGTTTATTCATATGATGGAATACTAATCAGCAATAAAAAGGAACAAAACATATTGCTGCATTCTACAACATGGATGAATCTCGAAAATATTATGTTAAATGAAAGCAGCAAAGCATACGAGACTACACATATTGTATGATTTAATTTATATGAAATGTCTAGAAAAAGCAAATCTAAAAAGAATAAAACTAGAAAGAGTGGTTGCCTATATCTGGGAGTGGTGATGTGGATTAGCAATAAATAGACATGAAGGATCATATCAGGATCATGAAAATATTCTAGAACTTATTTATGATGATGAAACATAATTTGGTAAATTCATTAAAAATCATTGAACACACTTGAAATGGGTGAATTATATGATATGTAAATATGCCTCAATAAACTTATGAAAAGACAGCAAGCTCATCTAGCCTGAGGTCTATAGTTCAGCATGTCATAGCTATCCTCGGCATTTAGTTGAATGACTGGAACATACAGTAGGGGTTAAGTGTTTGTTGAACTGAGATATGTTTCAAAACAGAACCAACAAGAGCAATTTCAGAAACACACTGAAGATAGAGGTGAGTGGTACTTCCTACATGTCCAAGATTCAGCTGGCAGACAAAATGAGTTAATGAACACTGACTTGTATTCTCTTCATTTCATGCCAAGCTTTGTGCTACCAGCTCCAAGAAGTAAAACCAGAGAAGCAAGTAAACAATGGCTCCATTCCCACAAGGAAAAATACTGGTCCATACTGAGTAAAAATACTTGCTTGGGAATTTGTTTGTTTGTTTGTTTGTTTACTTATTTATTGGCACTGGGAATTGACATGCAAGGCAAGCACTTTACCACTTAGCTATATCCCCAACCTTGTAAATTTGTTTTTTGTAAGCAATAAGAATGTTTAATTTATAACACAACAAAAATTATACATAAAATATTTTATAGTTAACGTTTTCAAAATCATTATAAGGATTTTTATAAAACCACAGGTATTTATTGTTTTCTATTATGAAAAAAATTAATGGCTTCTAAGTTTCCAACATTTTTTTCAGGAAACAACAGCATAACAGAAAGAGCATTAGAACTGCAATCAGAACAGCTATGTGTCATTCATTCCCCACATGACTCTGAGCAAATCTCTTTTCCTTCTTAGGATACAGTTCCCTCTTTATTACAGCTAAGATTAGCTCTTGGGTTCTTTCCACACTCCTATTGGGAAAACTAAGGTGTTTCAGACAAATGGAAAAATGAGAAGCTCAATCTATTTACTATACAAAGTAAAGGAAATTCCTAGGTTATAAGGGAAAATCAGAAAGCTACTGCTGATGCATTCAGGGGCCCTGTATACAGACAATTATGACTCAGTCCCACACCAGGTCCCACCCTTCATTAACATGCAACCCCAGACATTCCATCCCTCCCACCCTTGACCCATACCCCGATATACCTCAGCTATGGTCATTCTCAAAGCACAGACAGGGGAGAGCTCAATATCCACCAGTTGGGCAGCTCTTAAACTCTACCCAGTAAAGATTGCACAAGGATAGAAAACACAGCACAGAGTTAGAATTATAAGGAAAACAGGAACACAACAGCTAAGAACATTTAGCAGTGTTTAGAAATAAAGATAGAAGGGCTTAGGGCTACAATTGGCCTTTGAAAGTGAGATGATTGATTTTTATGCTGCAAATAGGCAAAAATAAAATACTCTCTAGTTAGTCACAATTTTAAGTCAAGTTTGATAAACCTGTCCGTGCTCTGTTTCTTCTAAGGCTCTACTTCATTCATCCCAAGCTTCAAAGAAGTCAAATTATAGGATAATATCACTGAGTTGTTAAGAAAAATCTGATTTGTTCAAAAGGTCACTAATATAAATGGCAAAAGCCATTATCTAAGAAGCAAATACTAATTTCCTATATTTCTTTTTTTTTCCCTAAATATTTCTCTTATTTTATTCTATCCATTTTGCAGTACTAGGGACTGAATCCAGGCTCTTGTACATGCCAGGCAAGTGCTCTACCACTGAGCTACATTCCTCAGTCCTGTATTTCCTTATATAGCTATTAACAGGGCTATTCAAAATATAAGAAAAATAATGAGGATGTCACCAACAAATACATTTCTATTAAAGTGATATCATTAAACTCTGAAAATATATCATACACTCCCTTCAGATTCTAAATTTACTAAAAGAGTTTTTGAATATAATTTAACTTCTCTCTTGGTTCGCCTACTTTTAGAGAATGTATTAGAATGCCAATATTACTTCTCATTTTGTAGAAGCTAAATTTCATTATTTTATGTCAAAAAATTCATATTTTTTCATCATTTTAGAAATTCAAATAATGGCAAACATTTCTCTTAAACTTAAGAAAAATGTATAATTAATGTAAGTTCTCTAAAAGTTGCCAATTTGGGGTTTATGTTAACATTCTAAAATCTTAAATGAATTATCAAAGGCCCATAATTGCTTTCTAAAGCCAACTAAAATATCTCTGTGCCCCAAAATATTATTACATTATTCATTCTACTCTGGTTAAACTTTAACCACTGAGTTCTTTAAGAGGTATAACATAAAAGAATTTCATGTACAGAAAGCATAATGTACATCTTAATAAATCTGTTGAATAATTTTTCTTCTTCCCTCAGTTTTCAGATTTTCATTACTTTTGTTTCATAACTTCATCTTATTCAGTAGGAAGTTGTTAGTATAAAGACACTGGGTGTGTTCCTTACATGGTAGACAGAAGAAATGTCATGGTTTCTCTACATCTTCATAGTGTTGTTACAAAATTAATGAGATACACTCAGCTCTCCCTGTCTATTCCAAGGATGATAACTATGTAAGCACAAATATAATTAAAAAAATGATAAGAGAATATGAATCCCCCTTACAGTATCACTGTCACAGGGCTGGAACTGGAAGGGTTGAGGTTTGTGAAATACAGCATTCTCTTGTAAAAACAGCTGAAGATTATAGTCCCGTACCACCTAGAGAGAAAATAAGATATCTTTAAAGTCTGGAATAAGGTTAAAATGTCCAGTAATTACATTCTAAAGTCTAAGATTTACTCAGCTGGTTTCTATACAAATGAGAAATCATCCAACACTATGTGATCAAAAGGAAATGATAATGTTATGCCTTTTTTTAAGATAAGAACTATGTAATGTTTTGAACAAGCAACAATAAAAATTAAAAAAAAGAGTTATTACTTCTGTGTCCTATTTTCGCAAGAATTTAAATTTGAAAGTACTAGTTTAGCAACTAGCCCAGATTTAAAGACTAAACAATATGCACTACTTTAAGAGAGCAAGATGACATGAAAAGCTATCCTGTGTAATGGGTGTGTATGTGTGGGAACAGGGAAGGGAGTATATTGATTTCTTGTTTCTCCCAACTCTGAAGTTTGATGGGCTCTTAGAAGTCTGTTTTACAAACTGCCATTCACTAGGAAACTGCAAGATAATCCTATCTATAGCACAAAATAATATTGCCAGAAAATTTCTTGTACTTTTTCCCAGTAGGTTGCATTCTAATCATGATCTTAAAATACACTCAGAAACCCTGTGCCTAATAGAAGAAAAAGTAGGCCCAAATATCTGCCACATCTGCTTAGGACCTGACTTCCTCAACAAGACTCCTAAAGTACAAGAAGTAAAGTCAAGAATCAATAAATGGGATGGAATCAAACTTAAAAGCTTCTTCACGTTCAAGCATCTGAAGAGAGAGCTTACAGAATGGAAAAAAGATCTATCAAACACACCTCCTCAGATAGAGCATTAATCTTCAGGATATATAAAGAACTCAAAAAACTTAACACACACACACAGAAACAAAAACAAATAACCCAATCAATAAATTGGCAGACAAGTCACAGAAAAAGAAACACAATCAATCAACAAATATATGAAAAAATGTTCAACATCTCTAGTAATTAGAGAAATGCAAAACTGCACTGAGATTCCATCTTACTGGAGTAATCAGAATGGCAATCATCAAGAATATAAGCAACAATAAATGTTGGAGAGGATGTGGGGAAAAAGGTACACTTCATACATTGTTGGTGGGGCTGCAAACTGGTGCAACCACTATGGAAAGCAGTGTGGAGAGTGGAACAACCATTTGACCCAGTTATCCGACTCCTAGGTTTATACCTAAATGACTTAAAATCAGCATATTACAGTGATACAGCCACATCAATGTTTATAGCAGCTCAATTCACAATAGCTAAATTATGGAATCAACCTAGATGCCCTTCAACAGACAAAGGGTTAAAGAAACTGGTATATATACCCAATGGAATATTACCAAGCCTTAAAGAATAAAAAAACTGTGGTATTTGTCAGTAAATGGATGGAACTGGAGAACATCATGCTAAGTAAAATAAGCCAATCCCAAAGAACCAAAGGCCAAATGTTTTCTCTGATATATGGATAATAATTCACAATGGGGGAGGGGTAAGAATAGAGGTATTTTGGACTAGAAAGAGGGGAGTGAAAGGAGGGGGGGCATGGGTATAGGAATGATATTAGAATGAATTGGACATTATTACCCTATGTGCATATATGATTACATGATCTATAATCATAACATCATGTACAAGCAGATGAATGAGAAGTTATACTCCATTTATGTATGATATATCAAAATGTATTCTACTGTCATGTATAACTAATTAAAACAAATATTTCAGAAGACAGAATGAAAAGGAATATACATAGAACAGCAAAATAAACAGCATAGAAAGATGGTCAAAAATGAATTATATGCTCTGGGAAAGAATGGAAATAAGCAACATTTGATTATGCAGAAACCCAAATTGCATTTTTCTGCACTGGTTACTCATCTTTCATGTGCAATGCATTACTCCTCATTAGCAGCTCTGCCTGAGGATGGGCAGAAGAAAAAAAAGTTCAAAAAAGTTCTGTAGTTTTACCTTGGAAATCTGGGAAAAGGATGGACTACTTGAGAGGATAATGTAGTGTTTTGTATTTTATTTACAAGTGCAATCCCAGTTTTCCACTGCTTGCCTCCCCCCCATTCAATCATTCATTTATAGAGCTTACCAGGTCCAATGTTAAGTGTAGGAATGACAACAAACAGGGTTAGTATCTTCCAGTAATTTAGAATGTGGAAACTGGAAGAACCAAATAGATTACACAGTTCCAAATACACTGTGGAAGTACGCAGAAGGTACAGGGAGAGCAAAAGGGGCGATACTGAATTCAGACGGAAGAGGTGAGGCGGGGTGAGGATGATGGGGAGGTTCTGGTCAAGGAATACTCACTGAGAAAACGTATTCTCAAAGGGAAATGTATTTTGTTCTTTTCGTGGGTTCTAATTTTAAGCCAGAATAACTGAAAGCTAATGATCCAGCCCTCAAAGCCTCACTCATTATCATGAAGAAAAGCTGGGAGGATCACTAGCCAAACAAATCCTCAAGCACTATGATGGTGGGGCAAGGGCAGACTGGACAGGTCAATTCTTACAGACTTTAAACTTTTTGTTACAGATAACTTCAAAACACACATAAAAGTAGAGACAATAGTAATATGTATCTCCATGTGCTCATGACCCAGTTTTCAAAAACATCCTCTCATGGACAATCTTGTTTCATCTATAAATTCATTTACTTCTTCTGTCACTAATTATATTGAAGTCTCAGACTTACTTCAATCTCATCTATAAACATTTCAATATCCTATCTAAAAGAATAGGGGTCTTAAGAAAACACATTAAGTTTAAAATTTACAAGACTAACATATCAATTAGTGTTCAAATTTTCCTATTCTTTAAAAGTTTTTTGAATTAGGATCCAAATAAAGTCAGTCCCCAGAGCACAACTGGATGTTGCTTATAATGTGGAAGCTGGGAGAACTAAATAGGTTACACAGCTAAAGCACACTAAGGAAGCACATAGAGGGTACAGGGAGAGCAAAGAAGGTGATACTGAATCCTGACTGAAGAGGTGAGATGGGGTGAGGAGTGGTGGGGAGAATCTGGTGAGGGAAAACTGATGTTGCTTAAGATGATGTTCTTTTCATACACTGTAAATTTCTTTCTTCCTCCTTTTTCCTGTCTTGCAATCAATTCAATTGTTGAAGAAGCCCAGGTTTTTGTTTGTTGAGTTTCTGAGTCTGAATTTTGTTGACTGCATCCTGGGAATGTTTTACTTCCTGTTTTTCCTTAAATTGGCTTTTGAATCTAGAGGCTTAATTAGATTCAGGTTTGTGTTTGTTTGGGTCTGCTTTGTTTCTGTTTGTTTTGACAAGGTGGGCTTTACTTTCATGAGAAGGTTTGCCCTGACTTGCCTCTTTTTATGATATTAACATTTGTAGTGGGCTGAAGGTAATTTCCCAAAAGATATGCCCATGTCCTAATCCCTGAAATCTGTGGATGTTACCTCCTTTTGAAAAAGTGTTTTGGCAGATGTAATTAAGGATTCTGAGATAAAAGCATGCTGGATTACCTAGGTGGGCCCTAAATCCAATGATAAGACATTAAGAGGGCTGGGGAATTGGCTCAAGTGGTAGCACACTCACCTGGCATGCGCGGGGCGCTGGGTTCGATCCTCAGCACCACATAAAAATAAAATAAAGATGTTGTGTCCACTGAAAACTAAAAAATAAATATTAAAAAATTCTATCTCTCTCAAAAAACAAAAGATATTAAGAAAATTACACAGACAAAAGGAGAAGACAATCTGACCACTGAGGCAGACAGTGGAGTGATGTGGTCACATCGCCTCAGACACCCGAAGAGGTAAGGAATTGCTTTTCCCTTAAAGCTTTTGGAGGAAGTACAGCTTGCTGACACTTAAGATTTCAGATTTCTAGTCAAGGAAATGGAAAAAAGTTGCAAAGGAGTCCTGTGTACTTCTTAAGATCTTTCTCTATTTTTCAGTTTTCGGTGGACACAATATCTTTATTTTATTTTATGTGATGCTCAGGATCGAACCCAGCGCCCCGTGCATGCCAGGCGAGCGTGTTACTGCTTGAGCCACATTCCCAGCCCTCCTGTGTACTTCTTAATGTTAGCATCCTGCATAGCTATCACACAATAAAAAGCTAGAAAATTGACATTGGTATACATATACATTGGTATACAACATAAAGGTTATTTAGATTCCACCAATTATTCACTTACTCCTTTGGGTATGTTCATTTATATGGCTCTATGCACATGTGTAGCTTCATATAACCACAAATCATAGTCTAGATGCTAAACTGAACCATCACCACAAGACTCCCTTGTGCCCAAATATCTTCAAATTGGGTCTTCCAATTTGCAGCATGTGAGTTTCTGTTAATACATAGTTTTGTTAAGATTCATTCTTGTCTACATTTATTTTTGACAGGTTAAATGGAATCTCATGATGGTTTTAATTTTCATTTCCTTGATTATTATTATTTTTAAAAAATAGTTGTACATGATACTTTTATTTTGTTTATTTTTAAGTGGTGCTGAGGATTGAACCCAGGGCCTCGAATGTGCTAGGCATGTGCACTACCGCTGAGCCACAATCCCAGTCTTTCCTTGATTATTAACAAGGAAAGCATCTGCATTAAGTAGTTAGAGCTGCCACAACAAAGTACAACAGACTGGGGAGCTTAAATATCAGAAACAGATTTCTTCAGGTCAAGAGGAAAGAAGTTCAAGATCAAGATACTGGCAGGGTTGGTTTTTACTGTGGGCCATTCTCTATGGCTTAGAGCTGCCACCTTCTTTTGGTATCTTCATATGGTCTCTCTGTGCCTGTTTAATGTCCTATAATTCTCAACTTCTTATAAGGACATTAGTCATACTGGATTAGACCCACCCAAATGACCTTATTTTAATTATATCTTTAAAGGTCTATCTTCAAATATGGTCATACTATGAGGCACTAGGGGTTAGGATTTCAACATGAAATTTCCGAGGGCCACAATTCAGCCAATAACAATATCTTCTTATATTTTTTATGGTATTTTTTTCCCAGTAATATGCATGC